ACCACAAAGGGACTTTCCTGTGGACAAATCTAGAGTTACTGTCCAGCATTGCTTATCTATCCATCCATCCATCTACCCATCCATTCATTTGTCTATTCACCCATCCATCCAACCATCCATCCATCCACTCATCCATTCATTTATCTATCTATCCATATGCCATCCATCCAACCATCCATCTATCCAATCATCCATCCATCCATCCACCCAAGGTCATTGAACCACAAAGGGACTTTCTAGAATCTAGAGTTACTGGCCAACATTGCTTATCTATCTATCATCCATCGATCTACCCATCCATCCACCCATCCATTCATTTGTCTATTCACCCATTCATCCAACCATCCATCCATCCACCCATCCATTCATTTATCTATCTATCTATCCATATACCATCCATCCAGCCATCCATCTATCCAATCATCCATCCATCCATCCACCCATCCATCCATCCAGCCATCCATCCATCCAACCATCCAAGCATGCCATCAGTGAATATTCACAGAGCACCTGCTATACATCAGCATGGTTCTAGACAAGGACACACAGGGAACAAGGCTCCCCCACCTCCACTCTAGAACAGAGACAGGCAATGAGCAAACACACAGCTGGCCTGAAGGTGGTCAGGGCTACGATGAAGAGCCAGGGGTCGGATCTGGGAGGCCTGGGTGCGGGGTCATCTTCTCAGAGTGGTGGGAAAGGCCTCCGTGGTAAGAGGACATGGGGCAGGGCCCTGAGGGTGGAGGGTGTGAGCCGTGGCAGTAAAGGGGCCAGGTGGGCCAGGAAGAGGGGACAGGGAGTGCAAAGGCCTGTGTCAGGTGTGCCTGGCGTGTGTGGGACTCCACTGAGCCTCCTGTTCCTCATTCCTGTCTGACACACACAATCTGTGGAGCCAGAGCATCGGGACAGCAGGCCTGTGGTGACAGCCCCTCTGTGAACACTGCGTGGGGAGGCCAGGCAGGCAGCCCCTCCACACTCACCGTGAACAGGCCTTTGGTCCTCCTCCGGCTGCCGATGAAGAACCGGGCTCCTTGCACCGATAGGGCGGCTGGGAAGGGCACGTCGGCAGTTCTGAAAACAGCGGGTGGGGGTTTAGCCGCGGGAGAGCGGCAGTGCAGGCCATTAGTGTAGAAAAGGACAGAGCGGTGCCGCGCGCGGGACGTGCCAGTGTCCTGGGGCGGCTGTAACAAAGGACCGCAGGCTGGTGGCTTCAACCACGGACACCCATTCCCTCACAGTTCTGGGGGCCAGAAGTCCAACACTGAGGTGTTGACAGGCCCGGACTCCTGCAGAAGGCTCCAGGGGGGTCCTTCCTGCCTCTTCCTGCTCCTGGGGGCTCCTGGGGGCTCCTGGGGGCTCCTGGCTGTGGCTGCATCACTCACTCTCTGCGCTCACCATCACATGGCTGCTCCCCTGGGCCTCTTCTCCTCCTCTTATGAGGACACCGGTCACTGGGTCAGGACCCACCCTCTCCAGTGTGACCTCAACTGAGCTGGCTCACACCTGCAAAGGTGCTCTCTCTAAACAAGGTCCCAGGCCCGATGGGACACGAATTAGGGCGCCCCCCTTCGCCCCAGGACGAGGATCTTCTGGCAAGAGCCTGTGCTGCCAGGAGTTCCTCGCCATTTCACGGAACATCCAGCGGCTCCTACGGGCATGGGGTTTCCAGCCCGTTCACCCTCCACTGAGCCCTGGGGGTGGGGGGACAGATGGTGTCAGGGCAGGATGGGGTTCCCTCCCTGGTGACTTGAGGGTGTTGGAAAATGTGGCCGGAGTTGGGTCTTGATGTGCAAGGGGAGGCCAAACTCTGGGGAAAAGTGAGAAGGCGGCGCCCGTGGGAGAGGACTGTGTGTTTGGAGCTCCCGGGGCCGGAAAGCCAGGCCCGGGCTCTCTCACTGTCCACGTCTCCCGGGCCTGATGCCAGGTCCTCTGCTCCTTCCAGTCCTTGCCATCTGGCTGCGGCTGGCCGTGGTGAGATCAGCCCAGTGTCCGCAAAATTCCCAGGTCGCCTGAGTTCTGGCCTGTGCCCTCCAAGGTGCCTGCAAGGCCCGTGAAGCCCGGGGCCTGAAATCCGCCGTGGCCACCATGGCTCCAGCCCCGGTTCCCCGCCCCGGCTGGGCCTTTTGCACTCTCCCCGCATGGAGCTGTCAGCTGCTGGCTCTCACCCTATAAAGGCTCTGATGTAGCTGAGAGCGTGGTGGGGAGGGGTGGTGACTAAGACATGTTTAAACCAAGTGTATAAATGTTATGGATTCTTTTTATTACGGAATAAGTTTCGTAATAACAAAGCAGAGTAAGATTCTACCTTTGAAAGTACTATTTGGTATAATGATAGATTTAAAGTAAGCTGGACCACTCAACGTGCAAATGTCTCCAGCCCCACTCAGCAAGGATGGATGCGGAGGCCCGTGGGTCAGCAGCTGGCCAGGCCGCAGGGACTCACTGTCCCTGGTCCAAAACGAGGCGCTGGCCAGGACAAGAAACGAACTCGGGCTTCCCCGGGCCCGGGCTGTGTCACAGTTACTCAGGGCTTCTCAGCATGTTTATCTGGAGTTTTAATGAATATTTATCCCCTTATTTCAGATGAGGAAACTGAGTCAGAGAGGGTAGATGACGTGTTGAAAATCACACAGCAAGACCTGGGCCTCAAGCCGGGGCACAGCTTCCGCTTGGCTCTGGTGCCCGAGTTCCTATGATCCCCCTCTGTGGCCCTTGCGTCATGGTAACAGCGCCCTGCAGGGCACATCCCCTGGGCAAGCTCAGCCTGGACTCACACTTCAGCCCCAGCCCAGGGCCAGGCGTCAGCTCCCCGACCCCCCGGCTGCCCTCCGCTCTCAGACTGGTGCCTGCCCTTGTCCCCCGCCCCATGCCCTCCCCTGGAGGCAGGTGCGCTGTCCACCTGCTGGTGACCCAGGCATTCCTGCCACAAGGGCTCCTCCACAAGCCTGACCCCTCCGGCCCGCCCTGCAAACTCGAGCTGCCCCCGGATGTCCACTCTGGACTCCATGTCGGGCAGCACACCGCACCATGCGACCCTCCCGGCATCCTGGTACCTACATGTCCACGGGGACGCCGCAGTCCGTGGTGAGGGAGAAGGAGTCTTCAGACACAGCCAAGACCAGCGTGTGCCACTGGCTGTCCATCAGGGCGGGGCTGCGGAAGGACACTCGGGTCTGCCAGGCGCCTGCCGCGTCCTGGCTGAGGAAGAGGAAGTGCAGCCGGGTGGGTGAGTACCGCAGGCCCAGCAGCAGCGCGTCGGGCCCCTCCGCCACCACCGTGAACAGGTACTCATTCTTCTGCAAGAGAGGGCGGGCGGGTGAGTGCGGGCAGGTGCGGGCGGGCGGTGAGGGTGGGAGGTGAAGGTGGGCAGGGAAGGGCAGGGCTCACGGCGCAGGGCCTGCTGCCACAACCCTGTGTGTGATGAAGCCAGGAGCACTGCTCGCACCCATGACCATGCCGGGATCAGGAACACAGGAAGCAGCGTGTTGGTGAAGACTGGGAGAAATGCGAGCCTGGTGCATCATGGGTGGGAAGGCAAAATGCTGCAGCCCCTATAAAAAACAGTAGGCGTTTCCTCCACAAATTACAAATGGAACTACCGTATGATCCCGCAATTCCATCTGCTGCAAATCCAAAAGGACGGCCAGCTGGGTCTCGGAGAGACACGTGGACACCCGTGCTCCCTGCAGCATTACTCAGAAGGGCATTATGCACATAGAAGCAACCCAGCTGCCCACGATGAAGGGAGGAGCATACATAATGCGGCCCAGCCACCAAATGGAGCGTCTTCGGCCTTAAAAAGGAAGGTCCGACATCGACAGGGACGAGCCCCGAGGACATTGCGCTGAGTGGAACAAGCAGTCACAGAAGGACAAAGGCTTAGGATTTCACTAACACGGGGACCCGGGAGCCGTGGCATCCACAGACACCGAGTGCAGAGGTGGGTGCCAGGGGCCGGGGGCCGGGAAAGGAGCCGATGTTTAATGGGAACAGTCATCCCGGGAAGATGAGAAAGTTCTGAGATGGAGGGTGGTTATGGCTGCGCAACAACAACCACCTGTGACTGCTTCGTGCCCTTGAGCCGAACTCGTAAAGATGATCAAAACTGTGAGCTTCAGGTGCGGTGTGCTTTACCACCATTTAAAACCCACACCCCCCTCCACAACAGTGACTTCAAACACAACGTGACCCCCAAACCCCAGCCACCCCAGCCACTCGAACTGCGCAGGGAAATGTATACATGCCTATAAGCAATTGCAATGTAGAGTCTATAAATGCCTAGCCTAACACAGTTGAAAGAGTAGAGAATTGAAAGTGATGAAACCTGGATGATAATTACAGTGTCGTTTTTCACAAGCCTTTGCCCATGCCACACTGCGACCCAAATTCCATGCAACTATTATTCTAAAGAAGTTCAAAGCCTCCACATTCCTCACAATTAATTTAATGCCTAATCAGCAAAACCCACTTGGCTCAGATTGGGTCCCGTGGCTTCTGGCCACTCCTTCACGGACCTTCCTGGGTCGGGGTGAGAGTCCCACCCAGTGCCCCGCCCAGAGGACTTAGGCGCTGTGATCGCTCGTTCCTAGAAATACTCGCGGGCTGGAGGAGACCAGTGCTTGGTGAGAACCCTGTTTCTCGCCCACCGCCACCGCGGCCATGAAATCAGAGGAAGGAAGCGCTCAGGTGATGAAGTGAGTTTATTGGGGTGCACGAGGAGGTGCTGACAGGTTGAGAGTGGAGGTCAAGTGATGGACAGAGAAATTGGAAGGGAAGGGCAGGTGACCCAGGGGCAGGTGGGGACTCCTACTGGGAGGCAAGAGCCCTGAGGTTCAGGGCTCCTGGGAGCAGAGGTCAGCTCAGGACAGGGGAGACTGGGGGACCCCATCCTGAGTAGGGACAGCCATCTAACACAGGTCAGGACCTGACTGAGGGGTGGCTGGGAGAACCACCGTCACAGGGTAAGACCTGAGCCCGGCTGGCCCTGGGGACATGCCTGTTCAGCAGCAGGACTTCTGGGCCGAGGCGGGGACGCAGCAGGCTGGGCGGGAGCACAGGGGGCGGCAGAGCAGGGACATGCAGGAGGATGGGCGGCAGCAGCTGGGCTGGCAGGAGGAGGCAGGGCCACAGCAGGAGGAGGCGGGCACGCAGCAGGCAGGCCTGCACACGGGGCGGCAGATGAGGGACACACAGGAGGAGGGTCTGCAGCAGGATGAGGTGCAGGGGGTGGGCTGGCAGCATGAGGAGGCCCCAGAGCAGACAGGCACACAGCACAGGGGCTTGCAGCAGACAGGTGTGCAGCAGACGGGTGTGCAGCAGACGGATGTGCAACAAGCCTGCTGGCAGGGGGAGGAGGTGCAGCAGGAAGGCTGGCAGCTAGACTGCTGGCAGCATGAGGGCGTGCAGGAGCTGGTGCAGGCTGATTGGCAGGGGTTGGTATCACAGGTCACCTGACAGCAGGGGCTGGACATGCAGCTCACTGGGGTGCAGATGAGGGTCAGGCAGGAAGCTGGGGCACAGCAGCTGGGGGCACAGCAGGTGGACTGGCAGCAGCTGGGGACACAGCAGGTGGG